CCCCTTAAAGGGCCGGGGGGGTAAAAATTCGAAAATATGGGGGGGGGGGGGGGGGGGGGGCTGGAGCATCGTTGAGATGGCGCCGGGCGAATCTGTGGGTGTCTGTTCGTGTGGGTGTCTGTTCGTGTGCCGAGGAGGCAGGGAGATAGGTGGAAATCAGGGGCAGGCCATGCGCAACGTGTGGCAGCGGCGGATTGCAGCGACGGTGGCGGATGTGAAGCTGCAATACGCCGCAACATTCCAGCGCCGCCTGCGCTGTCGAAAACAGGCCTCCTGCGCGACGCTTCGCTACTGCGGCCAGGTTTTTCCCCCTCGTCACTTTCACCTGTTCCGCCACCAAATCCTATGGGCCATGCCCGTCAATCCTTCCGCCCGCCCGCATGGCTCCCCCCCCTCGCCGCCCGCCTCGCCGCCAATCACAGCACGGCATTTCCCATTCGGTTTCATCTGGCTGCGGCGCATGGGCGGCTGACACTGCCCCCCAACAAGGCGCTGATTCGATGCTTCGCCGAGGGACAGACACGCCCCTCGATCTGTCTCGATCTGCCTGCACCATTCCATTGGCTCCCAGGGCCTTGACTGGACGTCGCAATCTCCCTCGGCACGCCCCTTAAATTGTTAGTTGAAAAGAACAACCAAAACGGTGTGTGTTTGCAATATTCTCCGCAGCAATCTCAATCTCTCACTTCGGTGTAATATGGATTGCAACTCCACTTTTGCATTCCTTGTGAAGGCGGCGGCGGTTGGTGCCGCCGTTTCGCAACCACCGTTCAAAATCTTCTCAAAAGTATCGCCTCCTCCACTGCGCAGTGCCAGCGTTCCGAACTTCCTACACGCATCAACTGCCGCAATCGCTCCTGTAAAGACTCAAAATGGCAAATGGCGATGCATCGGCTACGATAACGTGCCCTGCACGACGCCTCCTGACCAATGAGTCTTCCAACCGGCGTCTATCATACGCAGCCTATCCATCAAGTATTTACCGAAAAGGTACCCACTTAAACGCAAGCTTCTCGAGATACCGACGTTTCATTTAACTAAATCTCCCAAACACCCTTTCGTTTTCACATCACCAGGGGCGGTTTGCGAATATTGTACCAACGTTCTCCTGCTTCAGGAAAAACCAGATCAATCCGATGCTCTGCTGTCATCGACCCTCACTTATCCTCGCGCGCAGCAGTGCTTTGCTCTCCCGTCCTGCCCCTGCTAAATTCTATGCGCTCATCAACTCTTCGTCTCCCTACTGGCCATTAAACGCCACCCACAACAACCACAAACGCCGCTTAGGTTGTTGATGGTTAATGTCCATCTAAACTACTGTGATTCTCCCCCACTATCTCGCTTGTTTGGGGTCACAAAAAGTTTGGCCACGTGACACATAGCATACAAAATGCATCCAAGATGTCGTTCGTGAGCGGATCGTGTTCACCCACCTTGCACCTTGCGCGCCACACGACATCCTCTAGCCCATCTTCTCACCACAGAACGTTGCCTGCAAAAACGCCCTGACCTTCTTCCTTTCACGCGCTCCCCTGATGAACTCGAGCCACTCCAACGCTCCACCTTGCTTATCGTCAAAACGATGCTCACTTATTTATTGCCCCGACATGAGTGCGTTCACCATCCATCGTGTCTGCACAAGCTGAACAGGGAAGGAGCACTTCTAGAACCAACAGCCTATATACTGTACACCTGCTGCCTAACAGTTGTGCTCTGCAGTTACAAATTGGCTAGTTGAAAAGTCTGCTCCTCTCCAGGTCTCTTCTGCACAAGCAATAAGTGAAGCTTGGTCAAGCATGTCATCAGAACCATAGAAGAGGTGTCGGGAATTGCCTCCATAAGTTCCCGAGTCAACTCACACTTCGTCAATTGCCGCCTCCCGCTATTTTGTATTATGGTAACCGCATCTCGCAATACGTCCGGATTTGTTTTGCCTTTCCAGAATCCGAGTTTCTCGAAATTTTCGACAATGTGCTGCCGGACTTCATCTTCGGGAGCGGTCCTTATGTCACCAACCCTTGGTGTCTCATCAAAGTTCAATTGCCGGTGAGTCTCCACCCTAGGAGTCATCTCTGAACCCGCCCTGCTCTTGTAGTAGCCATCGGCCAAGCCTGTGTAGTCCCGCATCCTCCCAACCCCGCCAGATTGAAGAACCGGGGTCGTCGAACACATCATCGTGGAAAACGCTTGATTTCGCCGAGATGCATACATGTCATCGAGTTGCGCCTTTGTCTGAATACCATGCTCCCTAATCGACTTTTGTACGTTCTCCTCGTAATTTCCGTCTAAGTCCACTTCAAGTGAGTACGCGGCGCTTGAAGCATATCTGGATGGCCGACGCAAACTTCCTTCTGCAGCTCTGGTCGTTCTATAGGCGGTTGATGCATTCGAAAATGTTTCATACCCAGCTAGTTTCGAAGACGAGGCGGCCCCCAAGGCGTTCAATTCAGAAACAACATCGTCCGATACTATTCCAAAATCCTCTGGCTTTGGAGTCGCCGGTATTGGCATGTCGACCTCCTTTTTCATCGCAGACTGCGGAGTTCTTCCGGATGGTGTTGTCGGGCGACGGAACGCGCCCTTGCTTTGTTGTGAATCCATCGTGGATAGAGCGCACATGTCGTTAACGAGATGATCGGGAACCGTCGGTTTTGTCCCGAACACAGTTTCGTCTGCCTGCTTTCTCACTATGACTGGAGCTATGTCATAAGCAGACTCCAGTCGCTCTTCAAAGCGGTCAAATACATCGGTAATTGCCTTGAGATGCGCAAATGCTGCATCGAGCATGTTTCCGGCTCGCGGGGCATCGCTCGATAAACGAACAAGGGGTGGGACATTGTTGCGGACTTGTTCGACTTCTCCTTGCATGGTGGAAGAGAATCTCACGGCTTCCTCCCCAGTTCCCAAGGGGCCTTTGCTGTACGCACTTTTTAGGTCGTCTGCATCGCGCCCACATGTTTCCAGGACGTTTTGCAACTCATCACCGAATCTCTGTATCGCTTTTTTGCTTTCGAGGCGAAACATATTGGCAGGTGCAGAAGCGCTTCGGCCGAGTCCGCAGTTCTTCTGAAGCGGAGAACTCTGCAGAAAACGAAGATTACACTCAAAATCAATGGAAGTTTGACAATTTTGTCTTTCCTTCCGAAGTGCTCGAGCTATTGAGGTCGAATATTGAGTGAGGCGTACAATGCCTCGCCCACTGCAGCGACGAGAGACAGAAGCTTGGTCTAGAAGTGACGTATCCATTCTTCAAAATTCAAATTTGAAATTCCCGGGATTTTCTACACTTAGAGAGCACTACACAGTGTTTCGGATAACCACGTTTTTTTAAGGACTGATGACGTTGTCAACACATGTCAACATCAATCACGATAGGGGTTTGGATGGTCATGCCGACAGCAAGGACGATTTATTGATGTCCCCGCATCCAGCTCTGTTGTTGACGATGTTGACATCGGTATCAAAGTCAAAGAGGACGCGGCCTCTCGCTGTATCAGGGCCTAGAGCGTGTGTGCCCTTGTGTGGGAAGCGCACTACAACGTCTTTCTGGGAAGGAGCCATAGACCTTGCCTGAAGATGTGGCCTGCCGACATAAGCATTGACGCAGTAGTTGCACGCAAAGTGTTCAGCAAGGTAGGAATGTGGTGCGAATGAGGGTAACTGACGTACTATGCGGAAACCTCATGTACTTTATCAGCTTTCTGCATGCTCTCCCTTCCATAATCCTGAAAGCAAAACTTACGAGGATTTCTCTCTATACTGCAGACATCAGGTTCGAAGTTGTTGCTGATGCCAACCTTCCAGGCTGACTTGTGAGTGCTGTAATTTATTTGTTCTGCTAAGGCCTCATTATGGTTTTGTGGTTCAAGTGGTACAAAGTTGGTTACAGCGTAGGTACATGAGGACCTCAAGTTAAACAGATATCAAAAATAAACTCCCTTGCCGTTGTCCTTCGCAAAACACGTTTACCGAAAAGAGAGGTCATTCCGGAGATATTCTCCGAAACCCAACTCGACCAAGGGACAGCTTTTTCTGTTTTACGGGATGGTTGTCGCGAGGCTGGGTCTTGTGTTCTCCAGGTTGAAGCAAAGGCCTTCCACGCTTCAACTTCAGACGAGAGGGTGGATCTCTATCATCGTCGTCAATTGTGATGCATGGGACAAGAGGCTTTTTGTTTGATCTCAACGCTTGCAGTCTCCCAGTGCCTCCTCGACGGAGTTCCCTTTTCTTCTCGTACGCCTCTTCTGCCTTCTCAATGGCAATGAGATCAATCACAAAGTTTTTGCTTGTTTTCAGCTTTTCCAGCTTTGCTCGGTCGTCCACGCATATCTCGTCACCACTGCTAAAATCTGCAATGTCATCTGAGATGATATGCGAACGAGGCTTTCTTGCTCTTTGCACTTCAGCCTGCTCCTCTGCAGCCTTCTGAGTGCGTTGCTGCGATTGCATCATTGAACGTGCAGTTTGAAAGTCCGCCGCTGGCGTCGACGGTCGAGAGGAAGCGGACTTAATGGCACGGGGCGGGACGCTAAGGTTGATTTGAGTCCTTCTCTTCCTTCTTTTCACATCCTTTGGATCAAAGCAAACGTCGCACCAGCTCCGACCACACACCTTTGCCGCCGATGCCTCTTCCCCGAAATACTCGAGCAAAGCCACACGCCTACACTTGACATTTGTGCAGTACTCCTTCATAGCCTTTTGCGCCTTGACGGCGGCCTGCATCCTTTTCTCATCGGATTTCTTCCGGTGGCAAGCAAGCAAATACTCATTGAGCTCCAAGTCCTTCTTAGAGTAGTAGAGCACGCTCTCACTCGGCAGCCCGTCGCGACCCGCGCGGCCGCTTTCCTGATAGAAGGCCTCGACGCTCTTAGGCAATGAGTGATGCACGACGTATCGAATGCCAGCGACGTCAATGCCCATGCCGAACGCAATGGACGCGACGGCCACGGGGCGCTGGCCCGTTTCGAACAAGTGCTGCGCTTCCTTGCGCTTCCCGGCGCTCATGCCGCCGTGATAGCCGACCGCGGGGACGCCGGCGCTCTGAAGTAGCACGGTGAGGTCCTCGACAGTGACCCGCTTGAAGGCGTACACGATGCCGCGTTGGAAGCCGAAGGTTCCGTCTGTAAGGAGCTTGGAAGTGACGTAGTTGACGAGGTCTTCGCTGACATCGGTCTCCATGGTGTCGGCGTAGCGGACTTCGTAGCGGATGTTGGCGCGGAGAAACGAGGTGTGAATGTGGCGCGCGTTTGGGATATGAAGGCTAGATATAATGTCTGCGCGGACTTTGGCAGTTGCCGTGGCCGTGAGGGCGACAATGGGAAGGGTGGGAAAATCGTCCCTGATGACGCCCATTCTAGAATAAGCTGTTCGGAAGTCGTGACCCCACTGAGATATGCAATGGGCCTCGTCGATGGCGAGGATGCCCAGCTTTCCCCTGTGATGCAGACGGCGTAGCAAGGACATGAAGGACCCCTTGACGAGTCTCTCCGGGGTGATATAAAGCATAGCGAACGGGATGGCGCCGCGGGTGTCGAGGGCGGTGAGAACTTTTCTGTTGGCAGCGACAGTCTCGGCGGAGGAGAGCAAGGCAGTCGGGACGCCGCGGGCGAGGAGGGCGGTGACCTGGTTGTTCATGAGGGCAAGAAGGGGGGAAACGACAAGGGAGACGGCACCCGAGACTTCGTGGTGGACAAGAGCGGGAAGCTGGAAGCAGAGGGACTTTCCATGGCCCGTGGGGGCCGTGAGAAGAACATCTTGGCCGGAGAGAAGGGCAGAGATGACTGGAGCTTGCTGGGGGCGCAGACTGAGGGGGCCGAAGTACTTCTTGAGGGTGGCGTGGTAGTGGGCAGAGGGGGGGATGTCGGGAGGGGAGGCCATGACGTCGGGAGCAAGGGAGAAGAGGACCGCGAGATCTGGGAGTTTATCGGGGGGTGGGAAGGGGGTCAAATTCGGAAGTTCGGAGAGCACAAGGACCTGGCCGTGGGTGACGCAAACGGCATAGTCTTCGTAAAAATTGGCGGCAAAATGATAGATAAAGGCACTACTTGCAGCGTAGTGATTGGTAGTTGAAACAATAGTAACAGGCCAATTAGAACCAAGTGGCACACAATCTTAGTCGCCACCGCCAACAAAAGAGAACGTGCTGCAAAAAAGGGCCCGCATGAGTGGGCCAGGCTGGAGGTCCGGGTTGTGGCCGGCGTCCTCGCCAAACGAGCCCAATTTCGCCTGACTGGCGATTCCTCCCATTCCCAAAATTCTATAAAATTCCTCTACCCGCATCGCCGCTTGCAGCAACCGCCCCTTCCCCCCTACCCCCCCCACTGGGCCCCGCTTGAGTCTGGATCAATTGCCTAAATAACAAATCGTCCCACTTAGGCTCTCCCCACCACACCCCCCACCTGCACCCATCCTCGATCCATCCCCCACTCCCCCAATCCACCTATCCCCAGATGAGCGTCCCAGACTTCTCCGCACTCCATTGCCCACCGCGCCGTCCTGCCATGGTATCGTCGGAGAAAGCCCCACTTCGTCAATGGAATGTCGAACACAACGTAACCCGCCCTACCCCTCATAGTCCCAATATTCATCCTTGCTTTGACTCATTCTCTGGTATTTACACGGTAGCTCTCGATGGTTTATACACCCTTGTTGTTCAGCTCATCCCCATCGGTGCCGCCCGATATGCTCATTCCTCTCCAGTTCGTCGTGCATGGGTTGACTACGTTGTCCGCGTCCAGGAACCCCCTGCTCCCGACACCAAACCCGACGATACCATAGAAAGTGAGTACTACGATGTCGGCTCGGTAAATTTTGCTCAAGTCGTTCATCTGAAAAAGGGCACCTCGGTTACATGCTTGAAAATGCCTAGCTGCGCCGCCTCCGAATGTGTCCGTCTCAAGGTTGAACTTCTTCAGAGAAAGAGGAAGCGTCCTGCTCCCCCAGAGCTTACCAAAAAAGAGATGAAGAAGAGGAAAAAGATCAAGAGAATAGCAGAGTCTGCTGCTGCATCCCTCAACTCGCTTCCGAATGGCAATACCCTCAGCCCCCAGACCTACCATGGCAAGACAGAAACTTCAGCATCTCGCGACTCAAGCGACGACGACGATGATGACAGTGACTGGTCCCATGGATTTGAGAGTGACACCACCGCCGATGACCTGCCACATTCCAACCGCGGTGTTGGGCGTCTCGCAAAGCGATTCAAAGCCGCAGCACGTGCTCATCCTTCCTCGACTTGATTCTGCTACACTCCATTCGGAAACCCTGCACCACACCAACCTGTTCGTTTCATGTTATTAGATAGTTGAAAAGAGTGTCAAGCTCGGAGAGCAGGACTTTTTAGATGCATGCTTAGTTGACTGCTCTGCATACCTCAACGTAACCTGCTCGTGCTTTAAATCCCACACTTTCAAATAAAGAAAGCCTTTTCTTTCCTGTCCGTTTCTGTGCCTTAAAAAGTCACGTAATCTTCAAGAACAGCGTTAGCGAGGCCTTCACTGCCACTCATTCGGTATATCTGCGCAAGGTTATATGCGGCATCGAGGCGCAAATCCACTTTGTTAGGAATGGTCTTTTCCGCCTTTGGTTCCCAGTTGAGTACCTTTTCATATCTGTCGGCGGCCATGTGCACCAACCCAAGCTGATGCATCATACGACCCACATTGTAATCTGCTTCCATCTCACACCACTCCACGTCTAGTCCGCGTACTCCTTTTGCCCGGTGTGTTCTGTAGTTATCCAAGAATGCGAACGCTTGCAAAACCATTTCGTTCCTGTTTCCGACACGACGTGATAATGCAACATACAATATCTGCACGGCAGCGCAGAGCGAAATCAGCGGACTCTCAGGAGAAAGATTGAAGGCCTTCAAGAGCAACCCAACTGTATACGTGCTGGTGTTGATGCCGCCCATCGCTGAGCAGTTTCCGGCAACGAGCAGAATATGAGCTGATTTAGGACTCCTCTTCGTCAAACGGTTCATGAATCGTAGTGATTTGATCCGGCGTGAGTCTGAAAACTTGCTAACATACTGGTCAGCGACAGAAAATGCAAAGCAAATATCAGGATCTGTCGCTGCTTCGCTTAACATCATACGTGCATGCTCGTAACAGCGAAGTGCATCTCCTACCGCAAACGATGCCGCCATATCCAGCATCTTCAACCGGATACGCTGGGGGATATTATTTCTGATTCGGATTTGGTTCAGGGATTCGAACAGATGGGTCACAGGGTAGGCACTCGCCAGGCCTTCTTCTGCACGGAAGGAGGTTACAAGTTTCTCGGCAAGATCAACGAAAGACTTATTATCAACGAGGCGCATGATGTTCGCTCCAACCGAATACAGTCGCGCGCGTTCCTCCGCAGGAAAGTCGTTGTCATCCCACCTGAGCCGCATGGGTTTTTTACCTCCATTTAGCTCGCGCTGCCGATCTTGTAGGCCTTGTAGAAAGCGCAGCTTGCGGCCAGGCAGAAAGTCATCGTCATTCTCGTCGTCGCTCTCTATCTCACCGGCACCCCGAATGTGCAATGCTGCCTCAAGAGCCGGATAAACTTGCGACAGAAAGCCACTGTAATCACCATGCGCGTATAACGCATTAGCAAGATCCAATACGCGTAAGGCTTCATTCTTATCCTCGCCACTAGCGGGTCCCCTTGACAGTATTCTTGCTGCTCGCGAAGCTTGCGCCGGCTTCCCTGATCCTTTGATCCTATTTTTATGATCGGGACGTTGCTCACCCGGACCCAAGAATTCTGTTATTCGGGCTAAAGCTTCGCTATGACGCGGATCGCAATGTAGTATTAGTTCGAGATCTCCGCGCGCGGCATGTTTGTTCCCCAACTGCTTGTAGCAAATGGAGCGATTTAGAAGCATGTCTTCGCGATTTGGTTCATCATCCAACTGCACCAATAGTGAATAACCCTGCAATGCTTTTTGGTAGTCGCCGCTATCGCGACAAGTCTCGGCAACTTGCCATAGAAGGAATCTGTGCTTCCGCAACATGGAAGGAGAAGACATAAACTCCAGTACTGTTGGTGAAGCAAGAGTCTCGGAACCCAACCGATGTTGGGATATTGCAAGCATCAGGCGTTGCACAAATGTTATCGGTCTTCCAAATCTACTCGCCCTATCTTGCAATCTCCCCAGCACTAGAGACGCATCGTAGTACTTGCTTTGTCGGAACCAAATCTCCACCAGCATCTGGGTCAACTCAGCCAATAACCCTTCATACTTGGTATGAACCTCGGGGTCCTTTGATTTGGGTCTGTTTTCCTCGCAGTGATGAAGCATGGCTTCTAACGGAGCAACAGCCCTCTCCTCTTTGCCCGCCCTTCGATAAGTCTGAGTAATTAGCAGCGCAACAGACATGTCATCAGGGGTCACTTGTGATAGCCTGACAAAGTTCTCCCCCGCTTTCCTAAATTGTTGCCTGTTCATGTAAAGCATACCTCGCGCCCTCAGGGCCTCCGCATCTTTCGAATTCGAGCCCCGCAATGCCATCGTTAGACAATAAATCGCACGCTCTGACTCACCCCTCTCCTCCCACATCGCCGCATTTCGTTTCCATAAGTTGCGATCCTGCTTATCCAATTCTCCTGCGGTCATGCACATATCCAGGGCTCTGTCCTTCTCACCGTTTTCCTCATAGATAAGCGCAAGAGTCCTGTACGGCGCGACGGCTCTCGGGGCGGCTGCAATTAACCTGTTCAGCATCTCCTCTGCTTCGTCGAAGCGCTTGAGCATGTACGCAACCGTAGCATTGCCCATGAGCTGTTTGAGATGCTGCGGGACTTCCGAAACTCTAGCTTTCTTGGCAACACCACCAGACGCCCTTCGCCTTCTTTTCCGACGGCGGCCCCTGGGTCGAGACTCAGCGATGAGGTCGTCGATGGAAGCGCCGAAAACTTCCTCGTGTGCATCTTTGTCAGGGTCAACGTCGGATTCGCTCGCCAGGGGATCACTCTCCTCTTCCTCTTCATGCGATTCATGTTCGTAAAACACCCCTTCCTCTGTCACTTCATAGTCCATAGCGATTCCATCATGGGCGCTCATGTCAGCAACGAAACGAAAATGAGGCAACAGACCCCTTGGGCCCCGTTTCTCAGTTCAACAAGTGGTCATGTTTGCGTACTGCATGACGCAAGCGCTTTCTTGCATTTCCGGGAGAAAAAGGAACATGCAGCTGCGTTGCGAAGGACTGGAGTGTGCAGCCAGTCGACCGCTGTGTGGCATGTGGTGATCGGGACGCGAGCGCGGACTGGTAGGGACGTAACGACCCTTGAAGTCGTCCCTCACGTCCAATTGATCCTCAGAGAGAACTGAGACCTTCGGTCGTCACCCGATGTGCAAAAATGGGCAATTTTATTCATAATTTTCGCGGTAATACTGACGTAGCCAATGAAATCGCGCCATCAACTCATCCTGAACAAGTCAACAGACATAGCATCCATGCCCCTTGTGCTGCTGGTGCAGCCACCTTCTCGCTGGGTATAAAGTACCCTTGGGTACCACTACCCTTGGATACTGTACCCGTACCCAAGGGTACAGTACCAAGGGTAACTGCTCGAGCAAACAAGGCCAGCTAGCTAAGATAAAGCTTAACTTTAGGGCCCGGCAAAAATCGAAGGTTCATTCCTTGCTCAGTCTATGGATTCCTGACGCAATTTGCACGACATTCATGCCCTACATACCGTAACACAACTACGGGGATACTTTCCTCGATGCCAATCAGGTCAAGTATATTCTTACGACGGCGTAGAAACGCCTGGAGCAAAGTCGCAGACAGCGAAGCATCCCTGTTATTCACTATTAATTTTAGAGAACAGGTACAGTAACATGCATTTTGGGTTGTTGTAGACCTCTTCCGTTGGTGACGGAAATTGAATGTCATTCTTTGACAAAATCTCAGAATGAACCACAGCCTTGGGCACATGCACTTGAATCTGATTGGCATCAACGTTGGTCAATGTCCACAACTTGGACATGCTGGCTGCTTGCAGAGAAAAGCAGCGCCGTTCTATGTCCCTGTCTTTCCACGCTAAGTCATATCAACTTTAATTCAACGAAATGGAATACGTTCACTAATTCGGACTCGGAACCTCTCTGAGTTTTCCCAGAACAGTTAACACAAATCGCGACCTTTAGACTCGATAACAAATAATTGGCTCGAGTACTGTGTGTGAAACAGAAGATAAAACTGGATGCGAATCTGTGCCGATGAGGAGAATTCGAGCGCTGCCCATGCCTGGCGGTTAACTTTGTGACGTACTTGGTGACAACCCATCCTCCAGCGTGAATTCAGGATCTCTGGAAACCTCGTTGAGACCTCGCCTGATACGGGGAAACTTTTCGATTCATGTAAACGAACACAGTCACGTTCTCTGAGCAACAGCAGGGGAGGGATGTCTGTCAGTAATACTGGCTTTAGAGGATATAGGACGGGCTTCCACCCCAAATCCCTATTCTCATTACTTTTGTGCATAACAAAAAGAGACTGACCATAAAGAAAGGCCTGCATGCGGATTCAGACAACGCTCTCACGACATACGCAACCGACGTTCGAAAAACGTAATTTCCTTCACACAAGCGTGGTTGCTGATTTGTAAGGGCCTCGGAATGATCTATCATTATGGCAACAATTGTACAAGACGGTCAAGGCTAAATCAGCTAGACCATTCCTCCGTACATGAAATACGAGAGATAAATGCCGGGCTTTCGGAAAAACAAGACGGTTGCTATTAGATAGCTTAAGCAAACGGATTAGTGCACTTCTGAACTATGATAAACGCTGTAAAAGAACAACGCTGAGTGTATTTCAAGTTTGTGCATTCACGGATCCTGAACGGAGGAATGCGTACTGAAACCAGGTAAATTGACGCTGTACGGCAAAAGAAATGATGCCACTGTACTCTGTTTCATCATCCCCCCTTCACACGTTTATCCCTCAATCCCTCCTTAATATCAAAGCCTTTTTCTAGCCATGTACCCCAACGTAGCTGAGGTTATTCTATCATCTCCACGACCATCTACGTCTGCGGAGATGCTTCTATGCGAAGACCGTGAAGTAGTCATATAGGAATTATCTCGAACGAGAACACTTGTGGATGCATTAGATCGAATCTGAGGGAGAGGGGGAAGGTCGAACTTTCTACCTCTTGAGAGGTAGTGTCTATCCGACCGAGGACGGCGATGTCCTCATATGAGGACAGCTCTTTTTTTGCAAAAATATATAAATTAAATTAAAAATTCAAAAAGCTACCTTGAGCACTATTTCCTTAACGGGCTTGTTTTCGGCAATAGCATCTTGCAGAACAGCGGCATCACAGCTTTAAATATACAGAACGATTAAGAATGTAATGCAGATTGAGTACATAGCTCCCTTTTTTAAATGGCGTTTTTAGTTTCGAAGTTATTTTACATGTGGTTCAAAGGTGGTTTAAAAAAGCTTCTTTTCCAGACATGTATCTAAAAACAACCAGGAAGAACAAGCAATTCTCACAAAGTTCTTTCTGGCCCCAGGTCAGAAGTCAGGTATGGTGGCACGAGTATCTTTTTCTTTCTTGTCGAGGAAGCGGAAGTCAAGAATAAAATAGGTCGAATAATGTCCTCTTATGAGGACAATGGTCCGATAGACACTAGTCCGTCAGGAAACGTCAATATGTGCGTGTACCTTGACGAGGAAGCACGGGAATGCCATAGGACAGCACGAGGAGTCCATGCTTGAAAGGGCTACAAGCTCGAGAGATAGAGACACAAGGGAGCACGCATGTCTCGAGGGCTCTTAGTAGTACCTGACCAAGCTGACACGGTAATTGTTGGTTTCTTGGAGGAGCCATGGGGCATACGCTGGTATGAGGGGAGCTTAAGGAGCTTGTGGTGAATACAATATCACCCTTGTAGTAATTTACTCTCTTGCCTCTCAGTATTTTCCAACTCTACGTCCACCCGATCAACGTCCAGAGTACAGTACGCGCCCTTCGCATACCACCAAGATGACTTCCAATTTCGGACGCATAGGTTTCAAACGAGCTTGTTCAGAACGTTAAGAGTACCTGAAGCTGCAGCGTGAAGGGCATCCTGAGGCAGAAAACAGACGGAATAGAGTAAACTGAAATCTATCCAACGACTCGGCCAGAGGTGTCCACAAACAACAAAATCTGACTGCCGGCATAAACGGATGACTAACTATGTCGAAGCCAACAATATATCTAATGAACCGTCCTCACTTGAATGGTATTGACCTTACTCTTATCTCTGACTAGCATATCGCTAGCAATGACCAAGGTGTCACCGGTAGAGGTCAGGCCCTTCTCGATCAAAAATTTCACTGCCCGCGAGATAGTCTCTTCAGGGTCTTCAGAAAACGAAAGTTCGAAGGGTTTTACTCCCCAATATAAAGTCAGCCGTCGCACAAGATCTTCATCAGGGGTGAATGCAATGATCGGACAACGTGGCCTCGTACATGAGACCAGCTTCGCGTATGTTCCCACTCGCGTGAATACTACAATGGCCGCCACGTTGAGTCGAGAAGCCATTGTCGAAGCGCCAAACGCCAAATCGAGACGCGCATCCTGTGCTTTGCTCTCGTTCATACGCAGAACCGGAGAGAACAAGTCATTCTCAGATAATGCGCTATCTTGTGAGACCACACTCTCTGCGACCGTGGCCATCACTGACAAAGCCTGGTATGGATACGAGCCATTGGCCGTCTCTCCACTGAGCATTGTCGCATCGGCACCTTGGCGAACTGCCTCTGTAATATCCGCCACCTCCGCGCGTGTCGGAGAGGGATATGTGATCATGCTTTCCAGCATATGGGTAGCGACAATTGTCGGCTTGCGAATACTTCGATTAATACTTACAATCTCGTCCTGGACCAGGGGAACGTCTTCAACAGGAATCTCTGCACCAAGGTCACCGCGTGCAACCATGGCACCGTCAGAGGCTTCGAGAATAGGGCGAAGTCTCTTGACAGCGTCTGCAGACTCGATCTTGGACAGAACAAGCGCCAGGCTATTGTTCTCTCGCAAATAGGATATCAGCATTTGCACATCATCCTCGTGCTTCACAAAGCTTAATGCATAAAAGTCGACATTGTTTTCCATTCCAAACTTGATGTCTTCCCAATCCTTCTCCGTAATGGCGGGTAGCGACGCGCTCTTTCCACGAACGTTAAGATGCCGTCGTGATGTGAGAGTGCCCCCATCTATGCATTCGCTTAGCACATCCTTATCCGTGACCTCAGTGACTAGGAACGAGCACATGCCGCCATCAACTAACAAAGTGTCGCCGACGTGGACGTCTTTGACGAAATCATCATACGACACGTCCACTGTGAAGTCATCAAATGAGTCAAAGTCCTTACGTACGGTCCATGTGAACTTTTGCCCCCTCTTCACCTGAATGGGAGCTTTAAGATCACCACTTCTGACCTCTGGTCCCTTTGTGTCGAGCAGAAGGCCGAGATTAAACCTGCCTCGAGAATTGACTTCCCTGACGGTTTCAATGACTTTGCCGTGCCATTCATGTGTTCCGTGACTCATATTAAGCCTTACAATATCCATGCCCGTTTCTGCGAGTTTCTCAATGCTTTCAATATCACAAGTCTTCGGGCCGATAGTGCAAACAATCTTGCTCATGCGCGGGATCTGAACATCCCATAACTTATCATCAATAACGCCGCTCGCAAGATCAAAGCCGCCACTGCTCTGCAGCGTGCTCGGGGCCTGGCTTCCGTTCCGTCCCGTGACGACCATGTGCCATCGCGCGGCCAGCTTCGCTTTCGGTGCTTGGGCGACACGGTTCGACTGGAGCTGCGAAAAGCTTGATGACTGCAGCGATGCGGGAGCGGACCGCAGAGGGCGCAGAGCCGACGGCGGAAGGAATGCGGACATGGCTGAGGTTTGGTAAGGGCTCGGGTTGAGAATGCCAAGCTCTTTGTCTGGAAGTGCTATTGTGGAAGACTGTCGTTGTGCTCACGAGGCGTCGGAGGAAGAGGGTATGTCGGACGGAGGGCGAGGTTGGATCGCCTGTGTCGGGAGTCGTCGTGAGATCGATTGACGAGCACGCGATGCATGAATGAATGTGACTTATTTTTTTTGTGGATCATATCCACATGGTTGCAAGTGGTCCAACCAAGCCTTTTTTTTTTTGTTGTTGTAGCACAATCAAAACCACCTCAGTCTACAGTACAGGGGAGGGCTCCTCAATAGTTCGCACTTGAATAGTTCGTTACGCCAGTAGTTCGCTTTTCTGACTATGTCACGGCTTCTCAGACGTGTACACGTGTACCTATTCAGACCGCCGCGGCCGCCACTGTCCTCCCTTAAATTGTTCATGCTCCAAGAGCACGAGTATAATCTCTTCTTCATCCCGCCCCGCAGTCGTCCACATTGCGCGCAATGACGTTGAACTCCGCACCCACTGTCAAAAGCACGCGCAAAAGATTGAATCTCTCCGAAAAAGCAGATATTATTCACCAGCTCTGTAATGGTTTCACCGTGAGAGATGCAGCAACTCGTTTCGGTTGCAGTCCGCGAACAATTCAAAAGATCCGTAAGACTTCTGTACGAATTCTCAATGCTGTGCATAAAAACCCATCTAACACAAGTTCAAAGCACTCAAGGCATCTAAATATCCCGACATCGATGCCGCACTTTATGAATTTGTGCGGATTGCTCGCGGAGCAAAGCTGCCGCTCTCAGGCTCGGTTCTCTGCTGTCGAGCGTTGCAAATTAGAGATATCCTGTTAAAAAAAGACCATCGAGAGCAGACGAGAAAGAGAACACGGCAGACGCTCATTTCCGAGCATTTTGAGTAAAGGACCTATGCCAGCAATGCGATCTTAATAGTTCGTTCTGTCAATAGTTCGCATTTTTGGGTCCTGGCAGGGGGGCGAACTATTGAGGAGTGCCTACTGTATCCCCCCTGTTGTGCCCGGTCTCTTGGGCACTGTCAAACCATGGAGAATTTTTGTTACGAACCCCTCTTATTTTGGAATTTTGTTAAGTACCCCTTTTTATGAACCCCTTTCGTCGGAGCGCTAGAGTGATGAAGAGGTGAAGAGGGCGTCGTCGGAATGAGTTTGATCAAAGGGAGCACGTTCCCTGACAAGCACAGCATCTTGATGGCATCCTTAACCCTGTGCGCCACCGTAGCCCGATCTCACAAGGTGAAAAACTCAGACTCTGGGCGCCTGCGTATACAGTGCCCCTCCCAGGAGTGCTCATACGTTGTCAACGCTAAACCAGACCGCAGGGCAAACAACGGCTTGTGGAAAGTGGGAAAACTCAATCTCACTCACTCCTGCGACGCTATAAAGGGGAAACGTAAGCGCAAGCCCCTAACCCAAACCCTTGTAGAGATGGGTGGATCTCCGGTTAGAAACCTTAGTGTCCAGGGAAGGAAAGTGCGGTACCTCCAAGAGGATGTGGCGAAACTCGCCAGAGTCCCCGTTTCTTATTCACAAGCCTACTCTTTGAAGCAGTCTATGAGTGCTGGGACATCTGCGCAAGCATGCGCTCGGTCAATGATGCAGCTGCCAGCCCTTCTCACACTCCTAAAAGAAGCCGATAAGCAAGGCTCCTATGTGAGTCTTGTGGCACCGCCAGAAGATGAGGGGCTTCATTTTGCGGTCGAAGAGGATCAGAACCACGTGACCGAGGCGTTCAAATGCTGTTATTGTGCTACCGGCGCTGCGCGCGCGTTTTGGGAGCAAGAAGGCACGCGAAGAGTGGCTTCAGTTGACGGAACACACGTCAAGACTCCCCTTGGTGGTGTCTTGTTAACGTGTTCCGTGAAAGACGCTAATTCTCAAGTCATCATCCTCGCTTTTGCGTACGTGAAGGTTGAAAATTTTTCTACCTGGTCCTTTTTTCTCAAACGCGTGATAGACGACTTTCCGGGGGTTGAAGTTCTCATAGGAGACGGAGACAATGGAATGGCGGCAGCGTGTAGAGAACACTACAGCGGCGTCACCCTCAGTCGATGTGTGCGTCATCTCATCGACAACTACTACAAATCGGATCGAAGCGTGGAAAAGAGTGATGTCAAAAATCTGTTCTACGCGCTAGCCTGCTGCTGCAACGATGAGGAAGAGGTATATTTACGTAACAAGCTACGTGAGAAAGTGCTACCGGTCACGTTCGAAAAGTTTTTGAGCGTCGCTATTCTAGTCATAGACAAATACATGCCACCACGCTATGGTGACTGCACAAACAACGTATCCGAGCTGGAAAACAGTGCTATTCTGGAGATGCTAGAGTCTGTACCTTGTCGCATGATACTGGATCTCGTTCGCAAGACAACGAACACATTTTGCACCCGCGCTCTTGATTTAAGACAGCCACAAAGTGCCGCGGCAGGGCAGCTGTGCAAGTGGGCCAAGCACAAGCTTGAAACTCTGTGGTGTGATGTGCAAAACTTTTCTTGCGTTGTACAGGATATCAAAAAAGGGCATCTCGGTGGCAGCGTCACGAAGGGAACGCAGGTCTGGAGCGTAAGGATATCTCAACTGGAAGGGGAGCGGTCGGAAGTGAGTTGCAAATGCCGAAAGCCTGAGAAGACGGGGCTTCTCTGCGTGCACGCTTTGACAGTGTTTGATAGTCTACGCGGGAGGCATGCGAACGTCCCGGAGGCTGCACACTGGAATCATTTGGACAAAAAGTGGGCATCGACTGTTTTTCATCATGCAACACTTCAAAGCCAGTATGTTGCTGCTGCTGCCCTTGCCTCTCAAGTAGACATTAACGTGGATTTGCAGATGCTGCCTATTGCCAGACAGATGAGCGCGTGGAGAGTTCCGAGTCAGGCAGGTCGACCGAAGAAACGGCGGAAACAGGGGGTTGCAGCGCCTCAACGAAAGTCGCGTTGCTCTGCTTGTGGTCAAGTTGGTCACTACGCTACGACTTGCGAAGCGCCAGACGCTGTGTACCTCTACCGGAAAGTCGTTCGGGAGTGAGGTGAAGAAAGGGGTACGTAACAAAAATTCCAAAATAAAAGGGGTACTGTTGTAAGTTGTGTCAACGTTGCCATCTATCGAGCGTGGCTCGATTTGAGACGTATCCGAAGTCGCAGACGTCTCACGGAATAGGACAAGGGGCAGGCTGTGTGCGGTCCGCAGCTCAGCCGGCCCACAGCTGCACGATGTCCTCCCGGCTCGCCCTAAAGATAAGGATAAAATCTTTTGCACAATGATCGGGCTTGGGGTCGTCCTCGCCGAGGTCGTGGATGGTGTCGCCCTCCCCTGAGGAGCCGGAATCTGACGCGGCCCGATCGCAGGAAGGTGGCGGGGAAACTTCCCTGTATGGTGGTTGGCACTCCACGTCATCAGGCGGAGGATACTCCGCGGCCTCTCGGAAGCCGGTAGGCAGGCGGCGGCTGCTCGAGCACGCGTCCGCCCCGAATGCAAACACATCTCCACCGGGTCGAGGGACATCTGGCGCAGGCGCGGGCCGAGGCTCACCCAAACTACTCTGTAAAATTGACCGGACGGCGGGGTGCGACGCATAAATTGCGCAGTCGGATGCGCGGGCACAGTTGCGGTCGCAATGTGGCTTGCGTTGGGCGCAACGTCGGCAGTTCCTAACTGTATGGCAGTCGGCGGCCACAGACGTTGGGCACGGCCCGCGATTTCGGGTTGTTTTTTCATTTTTGCTTTTTGCTTGTTTATTCGTGCAGAAACTGAGAAACTTCATGATTCTTCATGAAGAAACGACTTCAGACAATGGTAGCCACGACTTACACGTTACATCGCCATGATGGAGATGGGCTACAGGGACCCTAGGAAGGCATGGGGGATCTCGATTTCGATGGTTGATCGCGATTATCGGTGGGTCGCCTGAAGAAGGCCGAAGTGGTGATTTTTTCATTTTGCAGCATTATCTGGCAGTTTTTGCGCGCAATTGCGCGCAGAAACATGATTTAATGAAATCGCGGGGGCACGGGCTATGCGATTCACACTTCCCGCAGACGTGAGCCGCATTGTAGACGCAACGGAAAACGCGCCCCGACGACGTCGTGGTGACGTAAGTACACTGAGTCAAACGGCCCTGAACGGCCGTAAAGCTAGCGCTCTCGTTAGTCGAAGGATGCCGTCCGATCCCAGCTGCCACGTGTGCACAACACCCCCGTCTTTCGCCCTGGGCTAATGTACTGTAGAACAGTCCCGGCTCGCAACTTTTTAAGATTTGCAATCTTATGCACAACCACTCTGCTATCTAGCCAATATAATTGAAGGAAATGTACTGTACCGAGGGTACTGTAGCAACTGGCATCATACGGCTACACTTTCACGAGTCGGTGCTGTGGCTGGCGCTCGTGAAGGAAAGGGCATGCAACTCTCGACGGCCGCACTACTCACGCGGAACATTAGTAATGCAGGTATGGAAGAAGTGGTCGTTTTCGTTGTGATATCTGAGACACATGCAGAAACATAGTCAAAACAAATCCTACAGACGCAAACCGGATCAAGACAGGTGAGCTCAGTGACAAACTAGTTTTACTTTGCAGATAGAATCTCTAACGAAAACAAGCCTACTTGGTCCGTGCACCCTAGCCCTATTCAGGCGCAGAGAAGTGGGGGAAGACGCATAGTTCCTCGGTCAAGAGCAGAACGGCGTTCGCCCACGGGGTTCCGAGCCTATTTGCCAGTCTTGGGGCATTGGCAGTTCTTGCACTTGCACGTGGTGCCACACTTGCACCCGCAGTTGCAGCCAGCCATGTTGAAGAGAGCAAAGAGCAAGGTATGAGTGAAGCAAGGGATTAACGCTGGTGCGGTTGATTGAAATGTGTAGACTGAATGTGTGGAGAGGGAAGATGAGGGTGGAGAGGGAAGAGGAGGGTGGGCAGACGGTGCCGTCTCTTAAATACACACAAACATGAACTTGTTGTAACG